GTTATTGCATTAAAAAGATACTTTTCGTTAAAAGGAAAACAAAAAATATCATTGATATAATTCCCATCATCTGTCAGGTTGGATCTTGTAAGTAGGACTTTTATTACTGCTGCTACGTGGTTATACTACTGAACATCAACTCTGGAATCCAGGTACACTAAACTAACGAGTCCCAAATAGGACGAAACGCGCGTGCAGGACTTCACTGCCAGCCACCATCCATCTTTGCTTACTACTGCTTTTTGTTTATACTGTTTCAATTCCTCTGTAATAGAGTCTTGGATGTGTGTACTACTAAGGGAAGTCTTACACTTTGATAAAATAATTATCCATCGCTTCTTAGTTCTTTAAAAAATGTCTAACTTAAGTCAATCCGTGGTGTGAATTATAAAGATAGAACGAAACGCGCATCTTGGATTCCACTACTAGCCACTATTCATCTTTGCTTATAATGCTTGTGAATTAAAGCTATATCGAGGCAATACGCACAGTATGCAAGTCATATAATTGAAATTATTCAACACCCCCTAGGATTGTGCTTTGTAGATAATACATCCTTGAGTTTATAGAAACCCTAGATATTAGAAAACTGAAACCTTCTTTAGGCCTAGAAAAACAATTTGTTCTATACTTTGAATCTGCCCTGATATATATATATATATCATCTTTTTCAAGTCAACTTCATCTTCTCACTACATTGTCTAAATTTATAAAAGAAACTAATCGTTTTATATATACATATGTTTTTTTACTTGAATATATCTACACTTATGTTCCTACTTAATGTTTGTGCATTGTCTTTTTGTCTGTATGTGATGTCAGTTTTTTTTTCAATTATACTTATCAAGACATCAATAATTGTTTCTTTTTATGTCAATATAGAATCTTGTCAAATAATAATTTCTTCACGTAGTTTGACGAGAGATTAAGTTGGATTTCTGAATAATTTCTAAATTGTAATATGTCAGATTGATTCTAATATGAAGTATTGTGTTTTGTATAGTTTTAACTGGACATTTAATTTGTTTTGTGCGTATTATATCACATAGATTTAAGTCTCTTCAATACAAAATAAATTTGGTTAAGTGTTTCAGCCACAGAATCAATTTACTATGTCTTGAGAATAGTAGAGATAGGAAAATAGATAAACTAAAAAACACACAACATAATAATGGCTATCCTGATAATTTCTATTAAAAGGCAATAAAAGAACAATCTCTGACACAGTCAGTAAAAACACTTTCCACCTAAAACTCGATTTTAAAGGGGTTATAGCGGGTGACATATTAACACGTCGACTTAAAAGATCCGTTAAAAGCACATTTCACACTACCAAATTACATATAATCTTCTCAACCAAACCTATACTTACACGACAAATCAAGGATAGGTTACTGATGATGGGCTTTTACGAGTGTATATACCAATTTAACTGCTCTTATGGATCTAGTTACATAGGCCTTACTTAGAGGGCTTTATACTTGCGTACTCGTGAATATGTACCAGCATGGTTTGGAAAAAGGCGTCACTTAATCTGTTAACAACGCCATCCTTTCTCACTTGATAGATAGTGAAAATCATATTAAAATGGATGAAGCTTTCACCGATTTATATCATCATGATCATTTCTCTTATTATTATTACTACCTCGATTATGAAGACGAAATTCTCCTGCTATGCATTTTATTTACACGACTTATTGTATTGCTGTTGTGTTGATTATAAGTAGACGTTTTACTAATCATCATTCTGACCTCTATTGAATAACCTTTCTAATTTACAAATAACACAATTTTGAAGTATGCAAAATTTCACCTTTTTTAACATATAAAATTGTCAAAATTACTAATGAATTCCTTATTTTAACCTTTGTAAAACGTCACAATAATTATGGACTTATATCTGTAGAGCTTGATGATGAATTTATTGAAAACAATTGTTCGCTCCAATATTTTTTTTCGGTTTTTAAATATTCTATGGGGATTTTTAAACCATTGCATTTGTTAAAACAGTTCTCATTTCTAACTATATTATTATTAATTATCAGAAGGGGTTTTGTGGAGATTTAGTATTTTCATAGTTGTAAGCGTTAGTCAATTGAAGCCGTCCAGTGCTTCCGCGTTTTCCATGGTGGTCTAACTTCAATTGACTCACGCTTTCAACTATATTATTATTGTTACTATCTGTTTATCCTGATCATGACAACATTGCTACTCGAAATAATGACAAAGTTATGTTTTTGTCTGTTACTAATATTGCCGTTTGTATTTTTTTCAGGTGCTAATTAATTTTTTTTCTTTGTTTTAATTGTAAATTTTTTTTTCCAATGATGAAGTTGTTGTCATGTCTTCTGATTAACTAGTTAGCTGGCTAGTTAGTAAGCTCTCGTCTTTTTTTCACTTTTACTTGTTTTCATTCTTGTTTTTGTCTCATGTATTTTCATTTTCTTTCTTTTAAGTCAATACACGAATGTATCTATTTTTTAGGGGTAGACATGTGTGCTTGTGCATGTGTGTTTGCATACTCAGTCGTTATGAGCCACTTTTTTTATTATACAATAAATAAACAATTGTTCTACACAAACCTTTTGTCGTCGCTATTTAGTCTTTTTTTCCCTTTTTAAAAAAACGACTTTATTAGTAAAACAGTTTCTAATGGAAAAAATAAACAGTCGTTGACGCATTCGTCAATTATTTCTTACGGTCATTTTTCTAATTATTTATCTATTTTTTTATTCTTAATTGATTGTTCTCATGGTTACTTATTTCGATATGATCCCCTTCCTTTTATTCTAATAAACAGTTTTTGAATTATGCACTGTATTAGTAATTATTATAATTACTGAAATTAGAAAGTAATACAGGGAGGGTGACAGCATAAAGGTGAAACAAAACTTCTTTTATATAACTAATATGTATATATTATAAAGAGATAGTCCAATTGTACGGTAAACTAATCTAGCAGCGCTTATATAGTAGAGATGATCAATGATACTGTATACATACATGTTATACATTCAATTGGTCAGATGAAATAAAATTAAGAAATATATATGAAGAATTTGTTTTCCTACTAGTTTTTTTCATTTTCTTCACTATCTTTATTAACTAGAACCTTAAAGTGTTATCACACTTATCTTATTTATCGTTTAATTGTATTGAAAATGGGTTGATATTAATTGTTCAGTATCCTACTCATTACATTTTAAAACATTGCAGATTAGTAAGAATGTGTTGTATATATGTATGTGTTCTCTTAACAGCCTACAACTATTTTCATTACTAACCTACTTTAATTAAATAAACATTAAAAATAGAATTAATAGATTCAATGAAATTGGTGGTTCTATCAAATTGTTTAGGTAAGTTTGTAATACCCTTTGAACCATAAATTCAGAATCCTATAGTTTATATTATCAAATTTAATTCATCACGTCACTTTTAAATTCTGAAAAATGTTCGCACAACTTTTGAAACTCAACATATCATATTGTCAAACTGTGAATTTTGATGGAAGAACCAGTTTTTTTCACATGTATAATTATAGTTCGACTATTAAATTTAGGATGCATTTTTTATAGTAATTTTATACACTTTTATTGCATAAAACGATGTATTAAGCTTGACAATAAGATTGTTATTTGTTTAAAATTATACACAAGCATTAACACATGATGTCTATATTGAATTTTATGTTTGCCTTCAAATATCACACCAAAACGGACACTAGAAAATAATATACTTTGTCAAGTGTTTCGTGTAATTTTTCCCCAAAAGTCAATTTTTCAAAATGTATATCGTATTAATTATTTTTTAAACATGCATACTATTACAATGGATGCTGTCATCGTGGCCATTATCATTGTTAATAAAGGTGATTAGTTTTTTTTATATACTGATTAGACAAATGTGGATTTTGGAAACGGTCATATCTGAAGTTATTCTCTATATAATTATTAAATAATTAAACTGTTTTCGCACTCCTCTACTTTTAAACTTTTGTTTGATACAAATCATTGATGTATATTTTACCTTTCCCAAAATGCCATCAATGTATTACGGATCTATTACTCAGTTCTCTTCAATTCGCGGTGTGATTATGCTCGTATTGTAATTTCTTAATTTGGTTAATGTGTGATCAGGATTTTCCTCCATATTGTTGTATGAGTGATTCATGCATTCGAACTGCATAGTTTAACGTTATTGGCCTGTTGAGTTCTCTATCCTAGCTGTCGGGCCAACGAGAGTGGTAAAACTGCATTCTGAACAAATAATCACGTAGTACTGCCCGCGGCCGTCATCTCACGTTTAGAGTATCTTTGTTAGCTGAAGGTCATTGATACTATATACTCGGACATATCAACACAACTGCTCTCTTGCCTTACGGTTTGACTTCACAGGCCCTAAGTGAACTAAACTGAAAATCTGTTAATTTTCACCGATACCACTAGAGCATTGTAATTGAGGATGTTAACTAAATAAGTATAGCTGAATGATCATTTTCTTTAGCTACTAGATTGTAGCCAATCGACCATTTCTTGTTTGTTTTTTATTACAAGTATGTTTAAAGTCAAAAGTATACCTGGGATTAGAACCATTAGCCCTTATGGTTCTGGTTCGCCCCTATGTGTTCTGAACATATGATGAAACTCATTAGTTAACTATGTATGAATGTTTATAATCATCTCACTATATCACTTAAACAGATCAATTTCTAATCAAAATATCGTTGAATTCATTGAGTTGCTTAACAGCAGATTAATTGACTATAACTAGAACTAATTTCATTTTAACATATTTGTTTAGTAAACGTAATAGCGATAAGATTCAAACCGATTGTTTTCAGGCAACTTCCTAATTTTTAAGAAACAACTTTCAAATCTATTGACTGATTTCATGGAGTATATCATCTTAAGCAATCAAATATACATAAAATAATCTATTTCTCATCACAAATTAACCAAGCTAACTAAATAGTTGAAATTTTGCTTACATTTTTAGTTGTTGAGATGAACTGGTTGAAACCTACTCGACAATCGTGCACTGAGAAAGAATGAAGCTGTATTTTTTTAAATGGTAATTAAAAGTGCCTTTTACTAGAACGTTTATAACATGATGTACCAAACTGTCTATGTAACCTAATAAATTACTCTATTTAAGAATTCGCACTTATAAATCCCACAAATATCTTTTGATAGGCTCCATTAACTAAAATAGTGTGAAATTAAAAGTAAGACTGAATCTTATTTCCTACGTACTGAATTACTTACTAGACTTTGAGTCACACTATTTATATAGGAGTTGGTGGTACTACTTAATTTCCCAGACCAAAATAAGTAAAGTGGAGTTATAGTTTGTGACCGCTTTTTCGGTTGTAATCGGACTAGTCACTGCTTGTTATTTATACAATATACTTGTTAGCGGCGATTAGCACGTAATTTCTCTGTGATTAAGTTTGTAAAAAATTTACTGAACTGTAAGAATTTATAAATTATCGGCATTAATTTTGTATAGAATATGTTTGTTTTTTTCTGTGAAGTAATTGACTAAGTTTAACATAGAAGGAAATTTTCACAAACATGTTATTATTTATTAACTTTGTTCATTTAGCAATAGTGACCATTTGATGAAATCAATGTACAAATTCGTTTACTTAACTTTGAGCTACACTTTTTGTATATGACACTTAGATAATAACTAATCAAGTGGTCTAAACCGAATTACATTAAACATATTTTCAAACCTATAACCTCGATATTTGGAAAGTTAACGTTGTTTTAACTATCTCGTCACTATCCAGTCAAATTCAGTTTTAATTTATTTATTGAACAACTAAATCCTGATTTAATACATTTTAATTGAAAGATGTAAGCTACTTCTCTAGTTTTTTTTCATCTTTATTTGTTTTTACATAAAATCTCAATTTTTTGTATTCTATTATTTTGTTGCCGTTGTTACCATCGTCATTGTGCACTCCCTATATCATAGTTGTTGTTTTGTTTTTTTCCTCATGTTTAGCGGTCATTTTGATTGAATAAAATTAATTCTGTTGATTAGTAGTATATTTTGTCATCTACACTAATTAGTATGATCCCCTTCCTTCTCACTACAAAAGAAAACAAACTGACCATTAGTGTTTACGATATAGTCAGTTTAAAAAACGAATATGTCTGAAATATAGATTTATGTTTGCTTTTGTGAGTGTTTTGTCTTGTTTCGTTGATTATTTACACTCGTGATGATTTTGTTCTGTTTTAACACTACTATTAGTAATAGTACTAGTTAAATGTTAATTATTAACTATGTCCACTTTTCATTAGTTAATTCACTCATGGTAATAATAATAATAATAATCGCAGAACAACAACTATTTAATAACAATAATGAACGTGAAAATGTATGTTTTCTTTTAATCTCTTCTACCACAGTGTCTTATTTTCTCTCATTTGAATAATGGACTTAGTAACTGTCAGAATGAAACTTGTTTTTTTCGTTTGTTTTCCGTAGAAAAGAAATCCACAACTTCCAGTAATTAATAAATTTGAGAATATAGGCATTTTGTCATGTAGTTTTTTCTATCAACTATACTTCGCGTTCTTTTTCTTCTTCCCGTTTGTGTCATGACTGTTATTATTGTGTTTTGTAAAGAATGTTTATGATGACAATGGTTGTAGTGCTTTACTTCTCTTAATTACATGTAAAATCACGAATAGTTTAATTCAGTCTGTTTTCAAAAATCTTTTTATTTTTGATAGAAGAAGAAAGGCGAAACAATTACTATTTCTTTTATGTTTTAAAAAAATATACATAAATTTTGTTTTCTTGTTTCTAATTACTTTCCGCATCTTAATTTCTGAAGGGATGTTGTCGAAAAAACAAACAAACATGCTAACATAACAGGATGCATAGTAACCAATAGTGTGTTGTATTCATTAAAATACATGTACTAGTCATTAACTGGTGTACATCGAATAAAAGCTAAACAAACATACCATTATTTCTTGCAATCATCGACTGTTGAGTCGAGTTATTTTTGTAGTTTTAAGCTTCTTGGTTGACAGGTACAACATAGTCAGTATCTCTTGTTGACCTAGTTCAAAATCAGTCACAACATCACAGATTTATTCGTTTTTTGGTCGTCTTGTAAAGCATGGATTTAAATCGTATCTCAGTTATCGATATTTATGTATTTACTGTTCAATAAATTTAGTAGCTTACTCTTCGTTTGAAATGGTAATATTGTATTATTCATTTACTAAATTTAGATTTATGTACGCAACATTGAGTCACATTTTTTATGTAAAGATCGTTCATAATGTCTACTTTCTGTTAGGGAAACCCAGAATATTCCTCGAAAATATCCCAGGGGTCATGTGAAAACTCTGGGAAACGTTATATCCTATCAGCATTGAATGGCAGTTTCTCAGAAACAACTAGAAAGTGAAGGGTCACGTTTCACATTTCTGGTTGGACGATTACCTATCCCGCTACTATGTTTAGTAGAGCTCCGGAAGCCTGAAGCTATCTGTACATAAACAAGCCTTGGAGCAATGCGTTCTTTTCATATTTCGCGCCTTTTCTCTTGTGTTGAAGTGTCCGTGTAAATTTAGCCTAGGGTTATCAAAAGAGCTTAGAAAACCGATTCAAGTGTTCGGACAGAATATTTATCAAATTTCCAGACTGGAAAATATGTAGTGGACTTAAGACTTCTGGAATTTCATCATTAAGCTATTTGCCCGTTTAAAACAAATCTAATCCATTAGTGATTATCTTACAAAAAAGATGTCCATGTCAACGAATAAATTATTTCAAATTAAACTGTATTTCTATTTTAATTTAGTTAATCAAAATTACTACAGATGATATGTATTGTGCTAAGTTCCATTTATACAATAACCTCAACATAGAAAAATAATCTCTTGATATTATCACTGAAGTCAAAAATGCACTTCAATCAGCCTATTATACCTAACGTAGAACCTGATACATATATATCGGTTCAAGTTGCTCTACTACATTAGCACATCGAGATGAAATTTTCTCAAGTCATGTTCCAAAGCAATGGAAGAAGTAGCCGTATCAGTAGTAGAAGAAAAGATTCTATATAGGAAGAAACATGTAAGGAGATTTCCGGGCTCATTCTAAACATAGAAGAGGAGTGAATGGATATGTGCCATTGCGAACGATTCCGAGCTATATCACCCCTAGTCTCGAACCATTGCTTACGGTAATCACACGTACCTAACACATGATCGGATACTTGTAATCTATTTATCTCCTCTATCCTTAACGGCCACATTTTATGCCCATAAAGTAAAATGGGGCGAAATGCTTCATAGGAAATTCGTCCTTTTTTCAGTAGACAGATATCTCTTCTCCGTCACAAGTGGTGTAAGTTAGCAAAAGCTAGTCAAGCTTACTGAATCCGTGCCGATATTTTGTTCAGTATCAACTGACCATGACAGAATAGACTCTCAAAGTGAAGCGGTCGATATGTTGTGCTTCTTCTCTCCTTATCATTAATTTGCGCCCCAGTGTAACCCAATTCAAAAGGATCGTAGCATGAATCTTCTAAACATTTAAAATCATTCACTTTGATAAAGCTTAATTTGGATTTTATTTCTTTTAGCTGTTAACGTTGCGTATGCCATTCTTAAACTTGAGTTTCAAGATATTCATAACCAAAAATATTAATATACATCTTGATTGTCTTCAATTCAGTCCTTCATCTTTGACGAATTAGTTGAACGATTTATTTAAAAAAAATTTAAGTGTATTTCATCCCATAATGCATAATAGCTGATTAAGCGATTCAATATGGTAAAAATATCATAATTATACATTATATATAGTGAATTTTGAGACATTAAGCAAGAAGAAATATTGCTATATGAATCTAAGCAATACTTTTGTTGTCCGTTACCATTATTACTATCACTATTATTATTATTGTTTATCCATATTCTCTCTCTTTTCTTTTTAATCAAAAAAGACATTGATTATTACTTGAAAGCTACCTTGTTTTCGTTTTTATCACTGAAAAATGTGCTGTCTCGTTTTCTCCATCCTACTCCTAGCACCTCCTCTTTCTTTTTCCATTCACTTCTTTACACTACCTAAGGTACAGATTTCTTTCTCCATTATTTCATTTCTTGCCCTGTCAATAAAAATATGAAACGAAAAACATACTTAAGTGTTCACATTTGGGAGAATCTGTTTTTTTCCATACTGTTAAGTAATGTTTGTTCTTTATCTCTTGCCTATTGTTTTTATTCATAGGCATTTGATAACTTTGTCTCTCTTACACACACACACACTTATCTATATAATTACATTATATCCCTATTTTACTTACTAATATTCCATTGATTTCTGATCTTGCTTAAGTAAGTAGTTTTAGTAATACTGAGTAATTTAACTAACTACTGTATGGCTTGCCTTCTATATATATATATATATCTATATATATATATATATATATATATATATACTATTTATTTCCAATCATATCGTTTGTCCATGTTCTGACATGATTTTTTGATCATCATTGTCTCTATGATTGAATAAATGTACAAATGTTTATACATTTGTGTATGCGTACATCCATCTTTGGTATGACGTTTTAAAGCTTTTTGCATAATTGTTTTCTCTTTTTTTTTCTACATTTAGTACTTTACATTGAGAGATAGATGATTTGATTTATGAATCGATGGTTACTGTCCTTCATATTATAACTATTTCTAATATCCTGATAATAAAAATGATTAGCTATCTAGAAGAAATAATGTCGTATAATATATATATATATATATATATATATATATATATATATATATGACTATACTACGTGTATATATTTGTCTGAGATGTGTTTGCTTTTTCGAGTGAAGATTGATTTTTTTAAAAATCCCGTTTCTTACCTTTGCTCATTTGTGCATCAGTACATGGCTTTTTGTCTCTTAATAACTCAATATAAATATACATATTGCTTTCATTTAGGGTACATCTTATACTGTTCTATTCAATGTTCTATTCAATGGACAAGTACCATAAAGAAGTCGATAATGTTTTTATTTCCTTTATCTATTTTATTGAAATGGATAATGAAAAGAAAAAAAGAAAAAAAATTCGTATTCAGCATTGCATTCTTTTGTATTGTTGTTCACACGACTGGATACAAAACACAAATTCAGTCATTGAAAGGAAAATTTATTAAAAACTTAGAGTAAATAAATAAATGAATAAAACAATGAAACAACATACAATATCTCCTAAATAAATTTGTTTATTAGTTTATGTTTTGAATAGATTTTGAAAAAGTTTAGTCAGAATGAAGATGGTAGAAAATATAAGATTTGTGCTTACAGATTCAGTTTATAATTTATTGTTAACCAAGAAACCTGGGCATATCAGTACTAAATATCTACAACCTTTCGTTCACTATTCTAGCAATAATTTCTTTATCCAGACCAGGAAAATTCAAAGTTTATTTTGGCT